TAAACAGTTAAATGTTACGACCCTGTAATTTCATCACAAAACCCATATAGACTCCTTTGAAAGCAGGAGTTGCAGGAGAGTCCTTCTCATGTATTTAGACATAAAATTTCAATTTCTATTAGCAATTTAAATCTCCTTGTAGCCTACTGAGAGCATGTGAAATCCCTAAGCACAATCTTGCATCAAGTATTTTAACTTTTTAACTAAAAATGTTCTCTTTTTTTTGGTCCAGTACAATTAGTATTAGAAAGCACCAATGAAACAGAAGAGGACAGAAAGACTTAAGTCACACATAAAACACATATTTAATCCAGAAAAGTCCAATTACAAAATACATTATGTACATTTTTAAAAAAGGGCATGGATTAAAATATCTATGCAGACATAATCAACAGTAAAATGACCTTTTCTGAGGACTAGTTAATTTAAAAGTCACAAGCAGCTAGGAATAGCTGCCAAAAAATGAGTGGGGCATTAACAATCAAACAATGCTCTGTAACCTTCAATTGTATGCTCTTTTCACACGTTTCTGTCTAAGCTTTTGCTCCCCTGATAAGGCTCTATTGACACATGCCAAAAATAAAACACTGCTGTAAGAATTGACACAATGAAGGTAGAGGAAAGCCTACAGCTAACTAATATTCTCCTTTATTATGAGCAAGATGAAGCAAAAATGAATCAGATCCACAAAATAAATAACAGAAAAGATACATTTGGTCATCTGTCTGTTCACTGCCAGAACTTGTTTTTCAAGTTGTAAGTTTTGATGTATTTTGTCAGTTTTAAAGGAACTTCCAAAAAGGCAACTCGGAAACATTTGTGTACTTTTTTCAATTGGCGACAAAATGTACCAGGAACAGCCTCTCCATTTTCGCAAAAGCAAAATGGAAGTAACTTATCAGCTGTTAGACATACATACCCAAGTTAACATAAGAATGTGCAAAAAATACCTTTTTGCATAGATGTAGGATACATACATCCCATATTAAAAAAAAAGGGGCAGGGTATTGTGATTGCTGTGATACTGAAGGCTGTTCCACTTACACAGATGCACAGTATATATCAAAAGAAATCTCAAATTTCTCAGTAATAACTCCTAGAAAGCACAATTTATAAAAAGCAAATGTAATTGCTCTTTAGCTTCAACTGGAGAAAGGTATGCCACTGAGGCATATTTTTTAAAATCCCAGTAAGATGTAAGATAATAAAAACCTGGAAGGTTATTGGCATTCAGAAGTATCCCCTAACCAGCTACATAACAGTTACACTGCAATATTTATTTCATTCATCGCTCTTGAACAAAGTTCAATCACATGTAAATAAGCAGGTACAATGAAAGCTATTTTTCCTATTATGATTTACACTAAAAGGAATAGAACATGAAACTGTTCCTATGTAAAAAAAATTAGAAGATTTTTTTTTTTAAATCAAAATAAAATGTCAGATTTGGGATACAGATAACTCAAGCAGTGGAGTACCATAGGAAATAAACAGCATGCTAACTAGATCTGCATCCCAATTCCAGTGCAGTGCTGTCATGATGGAGCCTCAACACTTCAATTTCTAATTCATCCAGCATCCTTTTAGTGATCTTAATGCAAAGCTGTATGTGTTCAAAACCAGAGCTTTCATTACTGACATTCAATATTTAAGTAAATTTCTACCCTTAGAGATGTTAGATTCAACTGAATAAATACCTGAACAACCCAATCCAACCAGATCTGCATTGAGCAGGGGCTAGATTGAATGATCTCCAGAGGTTCACTCCAAGCTAAATTATTCAATGATTCTAAGCCAATGCACCTCCCTCTAATCATACAGTCTTCATCCTCCTGCATACTAGCGTAGTAAGAAAACTCTCCCAAATAACATAAAGTGGTAAAAAGCAATCATGTCTATAAGAAAGGGACCAGATCTATACTTAACCTGAAGAAACAACAGAAAAGTATTTTCTCTTACTTTTCATCTCCAAACACATTCAAAGAAAGTAGAAAGCTTCTATATACTGTACACTGCTAAGAGACAGGCAGACTATTTCAGCTGTGTTGTACAGTACTCTTAATGGTTCATATATTGAGCTCTCTCCTTAAGTCCATTAAAAGGAGAAAATAGTACTCCATTCATCAATGACAATGACAGAGAAATCCTACAAAAAGATCAGAGAGCATAAAATATTTGCAACAAGGAAGGCCCATACTCTGAGCAGTGCAATTTGGAATCTGTTTTGTTCACAAAGCAGCTTAACAACTCTGCATTTACTGTAAAAAAAAAAGTTTTTATAAAAGCTACAAATATTTTCTTGTTACTTAGAAGCAATACCAGCACTGTAAATTATGTTTCATATAATTTACAAAGCTTTAGTTAAGTTGAAAGGATATTTTCAGGGTTTTTTTCCTAGTCAAAACCAACCCCACAGATGAGATGTCTGAAAAAAAAAAATGGAGCTAAAACATTCTACTCATAAAATTATTTTAATCTGTATGAAAGAATATACTCATGCTTTCAGTTTATGCTACCTGAGATGACTAAGCAGAGGCTGTAGTCTCTCATCAGACTGTATGGAAGGCAGTGATCGTGCTGTCAGCTAGAAGAAAACAGAATTTCAGTTAATAAAATATCAGCTTCAAAAAAATTGATAGCATAAAGTAGGAATGATGTAACATATCACCCTGCATTGCTATAACTTTACACAACATTGGATAAGACATACTTTCTCCTATTAAAAAAAACCACAACCTTCCAGAATTTAAAGTTAGCAGAAACATTCACAAGTTAACAAAGTCAAACAGTGAAAAACAATTTTCCTAAAATTACAATGTTATTTGAATTAAATAGCACGACATGATTGAAAGTTATATAGTTTTTCCAAACATTTTTGAATGAGAAGTCCTATTCTACAGCTGTCTAGCAGTAACAATGTAAATATAGTCCATTAAGCCATATTATATACAATTTACATTTCTATAGAAAAATTTACATAATATTTAGGAGTACAAGACTTTTATATAGACATGGCTCTGTGTATACTGTTTTTTTAAATGAGTATAACCTGTATTTTGTAATTTGACTGTTCTAAACAAAATATATACTTTTTTCTTGTAACTGTTTCAATATGACTAGGTAAATTTTTTCTGAAAAAATAAACCTAGTAGTCCATAAATCAACGTGTACTTGTCACACTATTGCAGAATACTAGTTGATTGGTGTATTAACTACAATAATTGAAAAAATATATGTATTAAATTTGCTTAATATCAGTATGTAGGTGTCTACTTTCACTTATAAAAGTTAGAAGCCTAGCAGTTCTGATACTGCTGACACATATATAATATAAAATATTTAATATAACATGCATTTCATCATTCTACTGCTGCCAAGTTAGGTTATATTTTGAAAACTACCTTCATACAAATTTAAAATTTCAACATATTTCATAGTGTATAAATCACCATCAAGTTCTTAAGTATTTTACAGGTAACTTAAAATAGCATACATAGAGTTAAACACACTCTTTAAAACTCTTATTTAAAAAACAACAAAAAAATCTTTTAGCACCAACAGTGTCGCTTCACCTTGCTGGCAAGCACTCAAGTAGAACTTAACTAGCAGGTTGCAACTTCTTTTTATTAACTGAGAAATAAATATACCCCAGAAAAAGCTGCACTCAGTGTTGGGGTACAGGGTGTTTATTTTAACTCTAAGAAACTCCATGCCAAACTCCATCGACTCATAGGCAGATCATGTGAATATGAAGGAGTTCAATATTTTCCTGAAGGATCCCTCATTCATCACATCCATTTTACAACCTCTGCTGCTGAGCAGAGGTCAGACTGGGGTCAAATTTTAAACTTGTACCTCAAACTAGCACTATCAACCACCAGGCAAACGCGAGGAGGTCCAAAACAGCCAGGCTGTCAAGTGAAAGTGGAAGCTACTGAACACAAGGACGGCAGGGAAGGAGGAACAGGCCAGTTCAGCCATCAAGCCGGTCCTGGCCTGCAGGAATCACCGCTTCGAAACACGGCTCTTCTCAGCCTCAGGGAGCCCAAGTGTACTCATCCAACCCGACTGCTGCAGTAAAGATAACTCTGGCAGTCTCAGCAATCCATTCACCTTTCTTTAAAAAAAAAATTAATAAGGCTGGTATCTTGGCAATTAAAGAATTATCCACATTCCCTTATTTTACAGAGCTAGACTGAGATGAATACAGTATACTAAAAATTCATTAAGCTCTGTATTTATTCAGAAGTTTCTTTCGATAAAAAACTCATTTTCTTACCACTAAGTATTAAAGGCCAATACATATATTGTTCTGTATACATGTCCTCTATAAAGTAATCTTCTAATTTTGTTTTAAACATTATCAGAAAACCAGAAATTATTTCTGAAGAGAACTTGGAAGCCCTCTAAATACCAGTCAAGTTATTCCACTTGGCTAAAATCAGAACAGAGTCTGAATTACCTGAAATACCATCTCCTTCTCTTTCTATTAATAATTTAATTGATATGGAAAACTGTATTTGTGTGCACACTCACATACATATATATATTTTTACATGACATAAGCATACAGTATTTTTCTCTATGCAGTCCTTTAAGTATTACATTTAATCAGGGAAAAAAAATTCCTCTTTATAAACAATGCATTTATGACAAGGCAATGTTTATGAAAGTCAGACTGGACAGTGGTATAAAAATGAAAGAATGCTAAAATTCAAATCCTGCAAAAGCATTAATACTATTGTCAAAGTTATATATATATATATAAACTACACAGTTATGTAAACATTATCAACAAACAAAAATCCTGGTTTAAAGTTAATCTGGGAGACTTGAAGCAATAGAGGTAGAGCCAAGAACTAGTGATCTTGGTGTTTAACCAAGGTTTTTCTTGATGTTGCAATGAATACGGAAGAAATGGCCCATGCTGGCTCTTTTGGGAACCAACCTTAAAAGGGAAAAAAAATATAATTCAAGTATATTTTATCACAGGAGAGTCCACATGGCTAACATTTTTCCTAATTTTTTTTTCTTTCTGTCTTGTGTTTCACCAACAATTATGGCATCTGAAAATTTTAGGAGCAAAATGAATCCCCATTTCTCTCCATTACATTGCCTGGAAGGACAAGATAAAGTTCTCTACAGAATATGCTCTTGTAAAAATAAGATTATACACCTTTCAACTCTTACAACAAACACTTTGTTAGGTTAGTTCAAATGTTTATTTTCAGGAAGATGTAGAATCCTCATGACACTGTTCTTTTCTACCTAAACTAAAGAGAGTTTTCTTTAAATGCAGTTGAGGACATCAACACAGCTGAGGCAAGCCCATCAAAATATTTGAACAATTTTAATTGGAAGAGCAAAATTTCCTTTAACTTACCTAGATTATAAAAATAAAAGCTAAAAATTTAATGTATAAAGTCTTTCCTGACAACTGTATTTTTTCTGAGCCACACTGTAAATAAAATTGGCTTTTATGAAGGTGGTGATAAATGAATGCTAGTGTTTTCAAACAGCTAAGAATTTTATGGTTTTTCTCACAATATTTTTCTAAAAGAAAAAGATAACCCCAATTACAGAGTCCAAACTGAGATTCTGCAGAATTTGTCCAATCACTCTGAAACAAAATTTCGACAAATTCCTGCAAGCACAGCCTTGCCTTCATGTCTATATGGTACTCAACACAAAGATCATCTTACCAGAAAAAAAGCAAAACCAGGCTATTTAATATTTTAGATACAAGAAACATAACTAAATTATGTCAAGTAAGGAGCATAACTCTGAACTCTAATCATGCTGAAGAAGTTTAATTTACACAGAACATAAAACACTGAAAACTTAAGGGATTTCCAGTCCCAAGGCTTGGGTGATCAGAGGAGTGGGCAGAGTGAGCCACAGACTCCTCAGAGCTGAGCTGAGCTGAGATGGTGAAAGCTGGGGTGAGTGATGTAGATCATTAAGGCAAATTAAGTACCATGTTATCAGTATCACACGACATTTAAAATTGAGAAAAGTTGAAGGATACTTAGCAATATAATGAAAAGGAATTAATAAACTGAAAGCTGAGATGCAGCTTCAGTCCAACTTAGAATCAGTGAAGGGTTTGGATTGGAAGGGACCTTAAATATCACCTAGTTCCAACTCCCCTGTCATCAGCAGGGACACCTTCCACTAGACCAGGCTGCTCAAAGCCCCATCCAACCTGGCCTTCAAAACTTCCAGGGAGGGGGCATCCACAACTTCTCTGGGCAACCTGTTCTAGACACAGTAAAGAATTTCTTCCTTCTATCTAGTCTTTAATCTACCCTTTTTCAGTTTAAAGCCATCACCCCTTATCCTAACACTACCTGCCTTTGTAAGAAGTCCCTCCCCAGCCTTTCTGTAGGCCCCTTCAGGAATATACTTCATAACAGCTTTAGTATCACTGTCACCAGCTGTCTTTGCTGCAATACAGACTGCCAATGGGGAGGGTGGGAGGGGAAAAAAAAGCACAAGCAATGGAGGGAAAATCAAACCAGAATCCTCTTACATTTGAAGTAACTACAATTTCCAAAAGAAAGCTTTCTAAAGTTCTGACAAAATTCAGTAATATTTTTATGCAATCCTGTAGAAGAGCAAGAAGCTGAGCTTTCCTATTGAGCTCTACACAACAATCGCATCTCTAGTGTTCACTATGCTGCATTTGTGGCAAATAAACAGGACATTTTCATACGGCATGAAGAAGGCAACTGTTTGAGAATGTAGAAAGCACACAATGACTGGAAAACTATATGAACAACAGAATTACTTAAGAAGTGAATATTGAAGGTGAAAGAATGACAGCTTACAGGTTGACGTCTAAAAACTAGTATGTTTTTCTTCCTCCCATCCAAACATGAGACCAGCACATGATATTTCAAGTTATCGAAGATTTACTATAAACCTTAAAAAGGTTAACTTGACACAAAGCCTGAAGTTAAGCAGCAGCTCCACATGCTATCAATGATATTTTTATACATGGCAATTAAAAACAAGATTATCATGACTCAATTAACTTGTCTCAATTTTTTAGGAGTACATGAATAGTTCATGTGAGAGCTATTTGCCATCTTAAGTGTTTTTCTGCACAAAAATGAATTTCTATTTTCACAGAGTTTACTTTCTAACTGAGATGTCCTAATTAGCTGTATTGCACAAGAAAATTTTCATATGCATATATCAGACCATCTGATGAATACATAAAAAAAAAAAATCATATTTAGTTGGATGTCATAGAGAAAAATGACATGGAAGGCTTAGGAGGAAAGCAGCAAAAGAAGGCTTTTGTGGCAAAGGTTACTTTTAGCTGAGTTCCTGAATTACTCCAGGCTCTTTCTACAATTTACCAGGGAAAAAAATAAATTCCTTTAAGAGGGTGCATTAGAGACCCTAAAATGTAAATTACTACCAAGAGTATTTCCTTATCAACTGCTAAGTACTCCTCAAACAACAAGAGTGTCTGAAGGCATGCTGTCCACACATACATCCAAAGCTTGTGATTTGCCTCTTCTCAATTTGTCAAGCCCAACTTTTTCTTTTTTTTTTTCCTTTTTTTTTTCTTTT